GTAGTGGTAGTGGTAGTGGTAGTGGTAGTGGTAGTGGTAGTGGTAGTAGCCTGCTGTCCCCAGTTCCCTTTCCTCCAGTTCCCTGCCAACAGTTTCTTGCCCCCAGTTCCTGTCTCCAACTCCCTGGCTCCCAGTTCCCTCTCCGCAGGTCCCTGTCCCCAAACCACATCTCTTCAGTTCATTTTTCCCTAATTCCCTTTCCCCCACTTGCCCCCCCCCAGTTCCCTGCCGACAGGTTCTTGTCCCCTCAGGCTTCCTTCCCCCCCCTTAAGCCCCCCTTCGACCGAAGACCTTAAGCCTTCGGCGAAGCCCCCCTTAAGCTCACCCCCTTAAGCCCCCCTTCGACCGAAGACCTTAAGGCTTCGGCGAAGCCCCCCTTAAGCTCACCCCCCTAAAGCCCCCCTTCGACCGAAGACCTTACGGCTTCTAGTAGTAGTAGTAGTAGTAGTAGTAGTAGTAGTAGTAGTAGCAGTAGTATCGGCGAGAACAAGTAATTGGCCCTCTCTGAAACACGTTGAAGTCGGAAACTCCCACGGCATCAAACGCCAAAATTCGACGAGTCATTGCCTCAAGTTCGGTTGAAACTGACCAGACCTGGTCGCGTTGCGCACCCTTGACAGTCATTCCCCGCCCTGAGGTCTAACTTCAGCTCCTTGCGCGGCTTTGTCATGGTGATCTCTTGCGTCCGGGCGATGCATTTGGATGGTGCCACATCTTAGACTTGGTAAGAGACCGCACCGTTAACCTTGTCATTCTTTCTGCCGACGGCGTCATTCTTGCTGATGGATCCGAGTTGGTGGCTTTGGCCAGTTGGGCTTGGGCTCTACGGTTCGATGCAAAGCACACCGCGTGAAAGCAGTGAAAAACATGTACGCGACAAGTGACACGTAAATGTAATCTCAAGAATGAATTGCTCGTCTCAGCCTGCGCTTTCGCCAACAAAGAAGTTGGCCCTCATGGCGCATGTTCAATCGTGCCCTTGTGGCTTGCTGCAAGACCTCCTGTCTTCACTTGACTATCAAGCAAACATTTGGATTTGCACCTCACCTGCGCCAAACAACTCACCTCCTGTCAAGATGTTCCGGTTACGCTCAGTACTTAAACAACACTTTCTCCCGTCACGGATGAATTTAAATATACGCGGCGCCTCTTGGCTGCGTTCAGTGCATCGACCAAGTCCTTGTCAGTCACTGCGCCCTTTTCAAGCGCTTGCTGCACTGCGGTCGCTCGAAGCGCGCTCCACTTAAGACCACGAAGCCGCTGCCACGCAGGCCGCACTGCGTCACAGGCTCGGAGGTGGTTGCTCATGTCTTCCGACTTCCGACCTGTCTAAACCATACAGCTGCGCTTGTCCTGCATCAACGAGCCTTCAATCACCTTGGGCGTAGTAGCCTCAACCGTGCTCAGTCTTACTTCGTAGGTCTTCTCTTCGTTGTCTTCGCTGTCTGTATCATCCTCGCTTGAGCTGTTGCTCCCGATGACTTCTTCCGGTTCCAGCTCTTCCTTTTTCTGCGTGAAGCTCTTGAGCTTCACTCTCATTCCATTCCGTAGGAAGCTTCACGTCGACGGGATTGTTTCGGTCGAAGCTTGGCAGAGCTGATGCGTCCGAGCTGATGCGTCCGCTGGTTCTTCTGCAACTGAAGGTCCATAATCATCGACGTCGGTGAACCGTGTGGCAGCACTCTTGTTCTCGAAGTCAAACTTGGCCTGATGTTTCCTCATCCAACCAGACCTGGTTCCGTCTGGCTTGAAATGCCCCTGCCTGATCTTGCGAAGCATGCTCTCAAGCTCCCTGAGCGGCTTCCTCGAAAGATCGCGAGGGAGTTCTCTGTCATGGCGCGCTGTCCCCAGCATGCATCGTGAGCGGCCTTCAACGCCATACCTGGCGCTCCACACCAGCGTTGAGCTCTCCAAGGAGGTGCTTGTAGCGCACCGTGAATCGCTCACAGAATACCCCAGCTATTCGTTCAGAAGGGGCTTTGCGAACTATCCATCTGAGGTTGTGTCCCTTTTGGGGTCAGATCTTCAGGCATCACAGTCTTCCAAAGAAGCCCACGTAGGGCAGGGCTCGTATAGAGGTGTTGCGCGTTCGGGCCCTCGCCTCCACATACCCATATGGTCCACAGACGCTCTGCGTTTGATTGATGTTGTTGGGTTGGGATGGTAGGGTGGGGTGAGGGGTAAGTTCCCCAAAGTGGCAGTAGAGTATACTGGGCCTGGTCGAATACACGAAGTAAGATAAGTAAGACCCTGCGACGACAAGTACACTTTTCTCTATGGCACGGAGTGCAGTATTGGGCTTCAAAGTCTTGAGCCAAATGAATTAAGCGGCAGCTGACTGAAGAGAACTATCTACAAACTAACTACGGACAACAGGCGCTACACACGTATAGCGTAGACACGCCTAGGGGAGCCAAGGACCCTACAAAATACATGGGGGGGGGGGGTGGGGGGGGGGGGGGGGGGGGGTGTTAATAGCGTCTGTCTGTCCAGTTTCGACGACGTCGAAGAAGAAGGCATGGACGTTGGTCATATTGTGACCTGGAGTACAATTGGGCGCAAAGCAAACAGCAAGCGCCCGGGAAAGTACTTGTGTAACTTGTTGAGTAATGAGTCGCTTGACCTCTTCAACACTCAATGGGCATGCCTGCTCAGTAGGCTCCTCGTGGCCAGGGTTCTACTCATCTTCCCGTGATGTTGGGGCCTAGGATGCTGTCCAAGTCGAGGTCAAACCCCATCACGTACTTTACGAACTTCAAGGCGTGCACCAGGTTCTTGCCTCTTCCTTCTGTCTCCAAGAGGCCGGGTATTGCATGATGACCTTTTCACGCATAGGCCACCAGTCCAAGTTGTTTCCGGCGGCACCACTTGTCATAGCTTTGCAAATCTCTTGCTCTTTTCAGTACTGTTGTTGGCAACCTTATGCCACACCCATCACGAATGCAAAGCGGCACTCTGTCTTTACCGGCCAGGTTGTCTATGACGTACTTGCCAATCGATCCATTGAAGTCGCTCTCCGGGAAGATGCTTGATTTCTTCCAGGTCAAAGTCCAGGGTGTCAGCGTAGTCGCGAATGCTTATGGCTTTAAGGGGAGGCTAAGCACGTTGCCAGAACTCATCTTGCCGACATCACCAGAGTCAGGCTGCCCCTCTTGTTGGAAGTTCTCGACAGGCGCAGCAGGTTGAAGCCTTCGCAGAAAGTTTCTGGGCTTGTCGGGGAAAGTCTCTTTGAAGACTCCATGTTCCCAGGCAAAGACTCCGGCAAAGGCACACTTTGGCTCTGCAACATGTTCTCCATCAAAGTCCTGTCATATGCTTTCTGCTCACTTTGGCTCTGAACAGGCTTTACTCTCCACCTCCAAACACGCTCCAGTCCACCACTGCATCATCCAGAACCGCTTCAGGAAGATCGCTAGGTGCAACAGGACGGTCGCTAGAAGCAGCTGCTTCCGCCGCATCCACCGCGCTGCCATCCTCGCCATCCATGTCCCTATGTTCCAAGCTTGTGGGAACGGAAGCAATGAAGTGTCCCACCCACCTTCACCCTTCAGCTTGAGCTATAATGAAAATTAACGGTTCGAAGGATCAAATTTGTTTCAGTTCACATAGAAACAAATGAGTTTCACCAAAATAAGTTCATTGTCAACTACGTCACTACGTCGACTGCTTCCAATATATACGTGTGTATGTATATATATACAGTACACTTAACATGTCGTCTGTTCAACAAAATGTAAGAACACTGTGGTTGATCCGGATTGTATTGTCATCTTCCAGGTTCACCAGACAAAGGACGTTTGTCCGTCCAATATTTACAAACTTGCTGCTGTTCAATGTCCTCCGCACGTGAAGTCACTTGATCTAGAAATGTTTTGTTGCTTTCAAGCATTTCAAAGTTCCCTGGATCCAGTCTGCCCTCACTCCAGAATACAAAGCAGCCAATGGTTGAACTTGTCATTCTTGTCCTTCGTTTTTGCAAGTACAACAACAAGTGTCCTGGGAAGTTTCTCCGCCAGCAACATTGGCGAAGCTTTCACAATAGTCCTCAACACAAACACTCCAAAGAAATAATGAAACTTTCTGAACTTACTTTCTTCACATCCATCCTCAACAAAGGTTTTGTATTCTGCAAGGCTTACATTGTTGCAGAGCCTCTGCTCACATGATTGTGGGTCAGCGCTTGTTTGTCTCGTAGGATGCGCCTGCTGAAAGTGTACTTGTAGACACAAACCCTAGATATGCATGTACACTGTCCATGAAATGGTTGCGTTAACTATCTCTTACTACTGGGCTTGCCTTCTGTCTTGGAAGCTAAAACAAGACAAGCACTCGCTCTCTGACTTGTTGCACCTGCCTCTGGTTGATGCACTCTCTGCTCCAAACCGGAAAGCAGCAGCCACTCACCTGTAGCGCAAGAAAAACCTTCAAGCTTTGGCGATGAAGAACTCCGTATCCTTCGGCCTCTTGACAACGACAAAGGACCACACCAATATCCAAGAGCCGAGCCATCCTGTCCAAATCAAATCAAAATCACAACCCTCGTAGGACCTTGACAGAACAACAACCTGAAATACTTGGACGATGTGATCAAACTCATAACCAAGTGCTGAAATATCCGCCTCATGCCTGAGGCAACTTTGAACCACTTACTGCAATTGCGCGCCCTCCTTCTGTTCACACGTTGTAGCCGCCCCCCCAGCAATCCCCATTTGTCCAAACAATGGCGCACCACAACCCTGAAACTGTCAGTGCAACTGCAGATGGTCCGTTCTCGACATTCTCCAAACTCAATTGCTGGCCCTGCTGAATTAAACCGGCCTGCCTTTGTGTCAGTCTCCGAATTTTCTCCAACCTTGGCAAGAAAAAGCTTTTGGCCTAAGGAAAACTGGGCAGGAAGCAGCAGGGCATCCGCAATGGTAAGTCTAGGGGACTCGCACTTCGGTCTTGCAGCTGTTCGGCAGGCTCATCGTCAGGGTCTGCGCATCACATGTGGAAACTGTTGACCACACACCTTTCAACTTGATGCCTAAAGATCCTCTATCGCTTTCAGTATCATCACCGTCGTCGGATACAACCTCACTTTGTAAACAACTCAGTGCTACACAACAGTACCAAGGTGACACACATACTGTCTGAGACCGATACTGTGCAAATCCTAGCGCCTGCACAGGCAGTGTGTGGCCGTCTGGGCCTTGGGGATGATGTCGAATTTCAACAAGTATTTGAGACCTATCATTGAGAGCAAGGCAGTTCCAGGTCTCCCAAAACATTTCGCGCAACCTTTAACAAAGCAACAGCGCATCCAACACATATCACAACCAAATCAACTTGGGCTGATGCATCCCCGAGCATGTCATTCACCAAATTCTGAACCTGGATCCGTGTAGAATGTAAACAAGTGGTTGGCATCATGGACAAAAGGTGAGTTGGGTCTTGCAGTTTCGGATTGCTGCTCATTTTGGATTCCTGCTGCTGAAATGTCATGTTTTTTTACATGCTCGAATCCACAGGAAGTCAGGTCGATCGACATTTGATGGCGGAAGGGCCTCTCTTTCACAACAAACTGGAGCAGTCCCCGGCCGCGGTAGTGGCACTGGACCAGCATCGTCCTCAAACACAATCGGACACATGAACAGGATTGGTTTACTGAACAGAGTCGCATTGCTTTACTGAACAGGATCGGCTTACTGATTTGTTCGACAAAACACTGCAGCCTTTGCTGGGGACTGCACTTCGTTGGAAACATGCAACATAGTCGCATTGGCATGTGACTGTGAAACTGAAACCGTTCTCGGAACTATGAACGTACACCTACCGCAAGTGATTGAGTCCAACCTTGGACTATACGCTAGCACTTCGAAAGCATGCCCACGGCATAAACACATACGTACGTCGAAGCGTTGCGGCCAACACGTACTCAAAACAATGCGGAAAACAAAAAAACAACACAAAAAAAATCGAGAAAAACGGATGTTGTGTTGACAGATTGCTACCATGAGACTATATAAATACAGTTCCTTTGCAACCACATGTGTAAATCAACAACTGAGCCAAAAACGCTGAAGCTCAGTTGAACCTGTCACAAATTTGCCATGAACATCATACCAGGTTTTCTTGACACTGGCACTGTGGAGACAGACTTTTGGTCTGAATCTGGCGTTCATTGAGCCGTCTACCGTACGCAGATCCCGGTTTATTGCATAGACTCCATTCAGGAGGGAGTTACAACCAGCTGAAAAGTGTTGATAAACTTGTGTCAGCACGAAAGTCGCAAGCATGGCAGAAGCAGCAGCAGCAGCAGCAACAGCAACAGCAACAGCAACAGCAGGTGCATATGCGAATTCAACGGTGCATAGCAGCAACAACATTGGTTCTTTCAACATAAAAATGACCGAATTTGGAAATGCAGCAGAAAACGAGGCAAATGAACGTGTAGTGGAAAAAAACATTCCTGTGAGAGCAACAAATGCACGTTGGTCGGAACGCAATGGATGTGATTTGGGCTGATGAACGAATCCAGTGTTTGCAAGCGTAAGAAAAAGTTCTTAAACTGCGACTCCTGTTTTGGGCCACGAGCTGCGCAGGTAGTCATATCACAACCTATACATGCTAAAGTGTACATCTTACCCGGAGTGAATCTACACCCCCCTCAGCTGAAGCATCTTTGATGCTGAAGCTGGACGCAGAAAGTGCACGAGGCTTGGTGCAGGGCACAGCGCTGATGTTGGCTTGAATCGGTGCTGGCAACCGATGCTGCAATTCATGGCCTCATTGTGCAATTTAATTCACTCCTCGCCTTCAAAAGGTTGGTTTGGCTGGCATACGAGCAATTTTCCACAAAAATTGTTCTGCAATGGTTGTGAAGACTGAGCTGCAAATGAATTATGCTCATATCATGAAACTTGGCTCACACATGCCCAGCGATAGTGCCATCGCCGGCTCGGCACCACTGTCCGTGCGACTGCTGCCCCTCATTCCTGCTCCCTGGCGAGGACGCCAATCCCATGATGGCAACAGAAACAGGTCACGCTGCTTCGACCTCCTGCTGAACCACTGTGGTTTGTACAGTACATGTCAGTGTCATCCTTGTGCAGCGGTCATGCTGCTGTTCATTGACACCCCGACCGAACTAAACTCAGTCCTCAATCATAAATTTGGATGTGTTGAGCCGCAAGTTCCAGGCCATGTTCCCTGATTGAGGTTCCCCGGTTCACCTCTCCTGGTGAACGGAGCATCTTCATTTCCATTACAATGCGCGGTGTGCCTCGGTGCTTGTCCAAAGATAAACCGCATTTTTTGGTAAATTTGTTGCCTTCATTTTGGGGTCCAAAAGCCCTGGCGAAACCGATTGGAGGGCCTTCCCAGTTCAAGAACATGTGTGGACACAAATGTTTGGAAGGCCCTGAAAAACCGACTACCTTAAGTAAGTAGATTACAAACGTTCTACACACCAACACGCGCAACAGCTCACAAGCCAAGCGAAAGCACTCACACCACTTTTACGCGCACCTTGAGCCAGTGCTCAAGTCTTGAGCCAAAGTTAAGTACAAAAGGCTATGAGGCATCCCTGCTTCCAAGCAATTCCCATGCGAGACACTGAAAGTGCCGAGCTTAAACGCACTCAAACCTGAGAAGCTGCAAAACGAAAGCCAGCGTTATTTTGTCACGAGCGGCACCTTGGAACGAGGGGCGTCAGGAACAGCGATTTTGTCAACTCTGTCGGGGTGGCGACTCCTTGCAGTAACACCCTGGGTCCGCGTGCGCGCGCGCCTTGTTGGCGCCCACTCTACCGTCGCGCGCGCGCGGACCCAGGGCAGCGGAAAACGGTCCATGCAAATAGGAAAAACACTGAAACTCCATCCAAACATCGGCCTTGTTGTAGCGGAAATGAGTCCATGTACACTCATCATGATTCTTTCAGGGAGTCACAATCTCCTGGTAGTTTACACAGAAAGACGGGATTGCGATCGAATATCCAATGACCCAGTGATGTTGCACTTCAAGTTCCCTCTCCAGTCTCATTAGTGCTTCGAACTTATATAGGTGCGTCGGATGTATAGCACAATAGCATTTATACGGACCCAAGCTAACTACAATTCAGTTGCATGGTATAGCACATCAATTTCCCTTTCCCCAAGTCGCTAGATTGCATGGTATAGCACTTCAATTTCCCTCTCCCCAAGCCGCTAGATAACCCTTGAGAAACCATCCACATTCAGATGACGCAAAAGCAAAAAATGCATTTCTTGCATCACCACCCGCTCCAAAATCACCAAGACATCACCTCCAAGACAACCTCCAAGGCCTTCCATCCGTGCACCCTCCTCCCCCAGCATGTGCCGAGTTTACGTGTACCTTTCTGGGCCACCCCCCCCCCAGACCCCCTACCTGGCCCTACCTACTCACTTCGTTCGCCAAGCACAACTCAGCTGGCGTCTTCTACGAAGGCTGGCTTTCGTAACACGCACAAAACTGTTCAAGAAACATTCATTCTACAAAAGCTACAAGGACCCCTGTTCACAAAGCCTCCAAACATGGTACATTCTACGAGCTAAGCTTCCCAAAGCTCTCAAAACAATTCGAAGTACAAAGTTCCACAAGGAACGCGTGCGCCAAACACTTGAAATGCAAAACCTCACGGCTACTGCTACACAAAGCGCTTAAACATGGGCGCTGCTGTTCTCAAAACAGTTGCTCTTCATAAAGCTGCTTGTAAACTGACCTCGCTATCAGTGTACTGCGCCCATACACTTTCACACCCCCTTTCGAGGTCAAGCGTCAAAACCACTCTGCTGCTTCGGACTCTGCTGCTTCGGACTCTCTTCCTGCCTAGTCTTCAAACACTTCTTGCAGAAATGAAATCGAGATAAAGCACGGCCCCTGGCATAGCTGCAGAACTGTGTCAAGTGCAACTGTTCCCGTTTCAGTTCGATAGCCGATGGCACAAATCTTGCATGTCGATCCAGTCTGCGAACACAGGCGGGGTCATTTCATTCACCTCAACGCTCACATCCTTTGGTCGCTTTTGCGTAGCTAACTCCGACCTCAACTGCCATTGCCCGTGATCTTTGGAGTTGATCGTCACGCGAACTGAATGGCAACGTAGCTTCGTCAGGATTCCTCCAACGAACATGCCACTCGCAAAAATGATAACGCATAGCATCTTCGTCAGGATCTCAAATTCATGCGCGTACCCAGAATGGCTGCGGGAAAGCAGTCAGCTAGCACAGCACACTTGAACCACACACAAAACAGAATAGAATAGAAATAGCGTTCACTCTGAATCCGCAGTTCCGATCCCGATCTTCTCTCCAAGAGACATTCGACCGATCGATCATGAAATCGATCTAATTCCTGCGACATTCAACATTCGACGCTTCTCTCAAAGAAACCTCAAACCTGGACAGAAGACTCTTCCTTTTCACCTCGTCATCTCGACTGCATCCGGCATCGCTCCTCAGAAATCGAACAAAGTACCGAGCAAACGTGCGAGTGTACCGTTCCGTCTCTGTCCAATTGACATTGTTGAAAGCTGCGTCCTCGACAACGCACCGACACTTGAACCTTTCCGCTAACCTAATTACAACCTCTTTTCTGTTCAACGCAAACCTGAACCTCTTTCCAACTGTTGACTCTTGGCAAACATCTTCTTCAGTGACTTCTTCAGACTCTAGCCCAGCTGGTGGGCCATGGTGAAGGTCCAGCAGGGCATTCTGCATGGGAACCCCTACAAAGGGAGCAAACATGGTCCTCATTGACAGCTGTCTCGCTCGGAGTGACTGGCGGTTGGGCCTTGGAAACCAAGGTTAATCGATATTCTTGGAGTTCTTTCGCCAACATGGCCGAATCGGACTTTCTCTCGAGCGGGCTGCGCCTGTGGCTATTACCAATCGAGATGACCAAACCTGCATTACACTCCAAGTGTGCCTCTGTAAAGAGCAACATGCCTATTCCATGGGAGGGACCGGATTCAATACGTGCACACCCGACCAAGTCGACCCATTGTAGCTGCCGATGGGCCAGCTCAATCAGATCTTGCACTTCAAAAAGCGTGACGGGCACGCAATCATTGTCAATGAGCAGCTTCCAGCACAAAAACTCCTGCCCAGCAACAGGGTGCCCGGCTGAGACCTGTGGACCAATCAGCGCGAATCCAGAGTACATTAGTGGCCTCTTTCTGGACCGACTGGCATCGACGCAAGGCCCAGCATCAATGCATGTGTGATGGCTGTCATGTCAGAGAGGTCACCATCAGTTCCTTCCTTGTCACACCATCTTGGCTGGGAGGTTGTGTCCGAACATCAGCCAGCATGACAGTGGCCTGCCTGCACGAAAATGGTGCGATCAGCCTCTGAAATCCAATCAGCCGCCTCCTGCGTGAAGGCCATCGGCGTCCGAGTCCTTGCATCCATGCTAGTCAGGTGCAGAGTTGTCTTCCATGTCAATTTGTGCAGAGGAAACTGGAGTGAAGGTCATCTTCCAGGGATCCTGATACATCCATGACACCTGGTTCGAAAAGACTCGCGCAGTCTCCACCAACTAAGATTGGCAGATGCACAGACAGGCGCGAACTTAGTTGGGTGCAAACAGCTGCTGGTCATGATCATGCAGGTTCGACTGGGCAAACAACCATGCAACCCTACACATGCGAAATTACTCGCCACGCTCTCGCGCGCAGTGGCACCCCCAAAGCGGCTGCTCCCAAGCCGAAGGGGGTCCAGACACCCTGGGCAACTCCAGCTGCGACGGACAACGACATAGTGCCACCACCGAGCCGCAGGATACTCATTTTAGGCAGGCTGACAGCAGCAC